GTGCATTTCCTTGACTTCACTTGTCAACTGGAGACAAAAGTGACAATGTTTGTTTCAGAGGGAAATTTTCATAATAACAACAAGACAGAATAAAATCAAAAAGTCAAAAGTTTCTTCTCCATGTTTGCCACTGTCTTCATATACTACGTGATGCAGCTTCAAGCTTTAAGAGAAAAAATATCTGGTATACTGAACTCAAAAACAATGCAAAGCAAGTAGCATGAGGCAACTAAAGTAGTTAGCACCAAATGGAATAAAGTTTGAAGAAAAGCACTTATTTTTGTCAAACAGTGAGGTTTTGAAAATGCTTTATGACAAATGACATACATAACAAAACAAACTATGTCATCAATTGCAGTATCTGCACAACAGGTTTATACTCTTTACAATTTGGAAGGTTGGATATGATAAATATGTTCTACAGAAACAATCATCTCTTTTGCACTTAAGAGAAATGTCTAATATAAAAGATTTGAGTATATTTAAGAAAATCTTTCTTTGAATTTCATTACTAATTACAAACCACACACACAAAATCAACCTTTCTGCACCCTCCTCTTATTCCAAAAAACAACCACGACAACAAAAGTACTATTATTCTGTAAAGAGGCACTGAAAGTAATTTCCATCAAAACAAAACAATAAATTGAATATACTTTTTCAAAACTTTTGACTTCATTGAGCGCATTTTTACTCATTTTGAAATTTAACCTGGATATAAGTGAAATTCTGACCTATTAAGAATTAGGTATAATGCAATTTAGATACGAAAGGACTGTTTTGAAAGCTAGTGATGGCAACATAACTGAAGGTTCTGTGGTCGTTGTGTCCTTCAGCCTATTTGACTCTCTTCCTTCATACATTCGTTTCCAGATAGCTAACTTGCAAATGGCTTCAACGCTTCCTTTGGTGATGTCCTCATCCAACAAAAATATAGTTCACTGAGAGAAATTATTGGAATTGAAAAAATAGTTTTTTTAGTTAATTTAAAAATAGTTTTTTAGTTTTAGTTGCACTGCACTTCCTAATGCAGTGCAACGGTGCTCTTCTGTTAAAACTATTTTTTTCTATAAAATTTACATTGAATTTACTTACTGTCTGATACGTTTTGTGTTTATTTGAAAATAGTCTTGAATACGCATACTGGTGTACATGTTTCACACTCCTGTGACTGAAAAGGTTCCACAGTTCCATGCTTTGGATTTTATTAATTTATTTTTGGTGGTAGTGCACGGTTGTGAACCATGAGAAGCCATGATGTCTTAACGGGAGCCACGTACAAATAAACATTTTACGAAGAGGCATGGCTGAACAGCCAATACGACAGACTGATACTTCTATGAATTACATGTGATGTTCACTTGTTTAGAAAACTGTCACATTGGATCTTTCTTAAGCGGATAAATCTACATTAAGTCTTCTTTTTGAGGCCAGCTGATGGCTGCAAAACTTCTCAAAGTGTACCACAGTATATTTTTGGCCAGCCCCAATAAACCCAATACTTGGTGGGACAGAATAGAACTTACCCTTTTTATCGGAATTTAAGTCGACTCTCAATACGAGACTCCTTAATTTTAAAGAGGCCTCTTGAGATTTTTTAAAATTTTTAATTTATTCTTACTATTTAATCAAATCGACTAGAAAATTGCGTTCTTGATGAGAATGTTTAGACTTATTGCTAAACAATAATTTTTTTTCTTAAAATCGTAATCATGGTTTTTGCCACTAACCACATCTTCACAGGTATCAATGCTTCTTTCTTTTTGGTCCTCTTCCCTTGCTGCGACATCTTTTGACATTTTTGTCCCCTCAAAGTTTTGTAGACTAAATTGGCATCGTTCGTAGTATTTATAAGACGCTACCTAAGAACATTCCCTTCGATGTCGCAAAATTTTCAATTCGTGCTCCACTTGTTGATCGATTCTGTTGTCCTAACTGTTCACAATGTACATTTGCATTCGCTGGACATTTAAACATGATTCTGCGTGGCCTTGTCGAATTCACATGGGGTAACAGAATGTCGCGTTCATTTACATGTCACATTTCATTTGATACAATGCCGTAAGTTCTAATATAATTACATATTGTAGATATGCTTCGTGTAGACGGCGCAATATTATTACCATCTTTGTAGTTTATTGTAACGTCAACATTTACAAGTTTCGAGACAATAAATAGCAATGTAAAAACTGCAAATACAAGACGACCCTACACTTTGCCACAGACATGTTTCAGAAAAAAGACTTGCCTTATCTTTAGGTAAATACGGTATATGTAAATTACATTCAAAGAAAAGTAACAATGCATTTTTTATTGTCATAACTTTCTTTTATGTTCCATCCCCTTTTGAATACAATTGTTAATACTTTCAAAGGCATTAAATAATGTAGACAATTTTTGTGAAAGAGACAAAAAGAACTTTTAAATGTTTGCCCTTTTAATTGAAAACATTGTTTCATTTTAATTTTGGAATGGTGGCAGAAAAGAAGTCAATTGAATTTTCGTCCAAACCGTTAAAAAGAAAACACTTCAGTCTTGAAGGAAGAAAGACTCCCTTTTTTAGAATAATAGGGAGTAGTAGAGAGGTAAATCAAACAATCCACGACAAGAGAAAATAGGAGTTCAATGGCCTGGTAATGCTTCATTATAAATTACCAAAACATTCAAGGACTCATCAGACTTAATACATAGTTTAAGATAAACATTGACATACTTTTAGTACGGACACTAGCCCCCCCCCCCTTTTCTTTTAACTTGTACTTCTACATTCACTGTCAGATACAGGTATTAAACATTATATCAAAACACCACCATAATGATACATTCCAAATATATTAACTCTACTTTTTATGACTGCATTAGCATTTTTCCTGACACACGAAAGTGAAGATTATCATCTCTTGGTATTACTTAAAATATGCAACTTGAGAGAAAGTCTTCCTAAATGTAACTAAAATTGTGTTTGAACAATCTGATTCAAAGAAATGTAGCATCTATTAACTCTGAAGATGGTATGGTATGCCATGGCAACATTTGGTGCCACATTAACATTTTTCAACTGGAAAGAAAAGATACTAAACAAAAAATTTCAATTTCAAAGAGGTTATTACTATTGAACTAATAACAACTAAATAAGTAATAATCTAAAAAATTAGAACTTTTCAGCGCCCTACAGTTTATTCACACATTCTCTCAGAACCATCCACAATAAATGTAATAAAAAATATCCTGTATCACACTGTATTGTTTTTTATTTGTTGGTATAAAAAATCATCTATATTTAGCCTCAAGACAGGGTCAACTAAGCTCAAGTTCATCAAAGGTGAATTATTAAGAAACACTAGTCAATTGAGTAGATGACAGCAGTCTAGGGAGAAATTTTGTAATGTATTTATATTATTATTTTCCTCTAGATTTTTTTAATAATCCTGCAAGTGCTCTTACTCCTTCATAATAATATCCTTGTCCATACCCAGGAATTCTTGCATATATTTGCATATTACATGTAGAAGCATCTTAATGGAAGCAAGCACATTTTAAAAAATGTTTACATTAATAATTAAAAAGTGAGGTTAGTTGAAAATAATTTAAAAAATTATTGTCTGAATATCATACATAATGAAATAAGGCCCAAGCTAAAGGCCCTAGATAAAGCAAGCAAAAGGAAAAAAATTTGAGTAATTACAAAAATTAGACAGATTCATCCATTCATTACTTGTTCTAGCAAGATTCAGTTGCCCTGAATTTGAATGTTACAAAATTGAAAAAAGACGTAGGCAAAATCTTCGATTAATAGTAATCAAAAGACTTTAACAGTTAATAGTCTGACTTTTATTTACCAAATTCATCTGTATCATTGCCAGTCGCATCAAACTCTCTTGTATTGTATTAGAAAATAAATTAATTGAAAATAGAATTTTTAGCTGATAATATATTATTAAATATCTTAATATATTTGGTATCTTAAATAACATAAATAGTATACAACAATAAATAATATTTATAAAGAAAGAAAAAATGTATTTGATAATTCACAATGACACAAATAAAAAATCATCATTAAATATTCAGAAATTAAGAATGTAAAGAAATGTTTTTTTCTAGCAGAATGTATTTGGGTGTTTCTATAGAGAAATTATACATACAATAGTTTAGAAAACCTGATAACAGAGAAAATATTTTTTTATTAATACAGTATTATTTTAATATTGATATGAATTGATCTTAAAAGCTTTTATAAATAATAACAACAACAACACATTTGGACAACTCTAAATAAGAAAGCCCCTAGCATAGATGAAATAACGGAGAAGTAGTAAAACTACACAATACTACACTGCCATTGAAGGGTTGGTGCAAGTTAAAAATGGCTCCATTTCTGATAATTTCACTACAACCAAAAAGTTGAGTAATAACAAATGATGGTATAAATAATTATACCTACCAGGACGTTCATTTTCAAGATCATATTTAATGTAATGAAGGAATGATTATTTATACCCTCACTAGTTACAATTTTTTACAAATATTAGTTTCTTTAAAAAAAAACAGCCATATTGTTCTTTCATTCAACTGTAAGTGATATACCTTTACGTTATTCCTTCCCCGTGTCAATATATCACAAAAATGTGTTCTTTTAGAGCACAATTCATAGGAGTATTTATGCTGTGTTGCTTCAGGTAACTAGTAATGTTAACGACAAGGTTAAATCAATAATCAAGCAATCCAATTTTAATGCATTATCTTTGAGAGAGTGGAGAAAAAAATTGTTCACTGTAACTATTACTGTCAATAGGTTTTTCAGCCTTTTTACTGTCAAAATTGTGGTTTATTTTTAAACACAATGTTCATTGCACAAGTATGAATTATTAGCAGGATATTGTGGTCTGGCTTGATATCCATCTGCAAAATCTTGAATAATTCACAATTGTGAAAGATATTTACAAAGCCTGTTTACTAATGAAGCTCTTGAAGAAATCAAGCAATAATATAGATCTCACCTGGTCGCCTTCCACCTGCACTGACAGGATGCCTAGTTGGGTCAGAGCCTGGTCGCCACGCTGCGCCAACTGCCGGAGACGCAAAGCAGCTTCCCGCGGAATAGTGAAGGTGACTCGAACAGAATTCCATGGTTCCACCTTCGCCACCCGCAGTGACTCTCCCTTCCCTATGATAAAAATTTATAAATGAAGGTTACAATCATTAAAATTGTATAACTGATTTATTTGTCAATAAATCCCAAGAAATACAGGATTATTAACCATTCAGAAGCATAAATAGACACACGTCTAATGCTAGTGGGTACTATACAGAGAACAAGAAGAAGAAAAAAAAACAATATTCTCAACAAAAAAAAGAAAAATAATTGTATACAGAAATTACTTCTAAATGTTTTCATAATTCATACACTCATGGCAACATTTTATATCTTAATTACATAATATTTCCTACAAAAGTCCCGATGTTTCTAGAACACAAATTGTCTCAAGGGCTTTATGTAAATTCTTAAAAAAGTGTAATTTCATAATTATAAACAACTAAACGTGTACATTTTTATGCTTTCAAGAACAGACACGAGACGAGTATTGTGCATTTAAGAATTATGAACAGGATTAATGGAGGAAAAAAAAATCCTTTGCCTAACTACAAAAGCAAGAAATCTTGGAAATAAGATCAAAACTGTGTTTAACTGATTCTTGACTATGTAACAAATGTGTAACTACACAACTTTGGAATTAATGAAAAAATGATTAAATGTTAATAACTTCATATACATTGTGTTACAGCTAATTTGCCTGTTGTTCGAAAAGAATATATTTTTTTTAATTAAAGACTCGAAGTTGATAAATCTCTATCGTTTTCATTGCTAGTAATTTATAAGTGCACAAATACAACTACTGAGTAGTCCTATAAAATGAAATAGATAAATATGTTGGCAAAAATATTATCACAATTATATTACATTTACTGTAAGTTCTGTATAATCAGTGTGAGTAAGTAATTTCCAACTTATTCCAATGATGCACAAATACAACTTTATGAAAATAACACTCAAGATGATCAAAGCCTTAGATTCCATTTAAGATTTTGATCACTACAAAGATCTTTTAAAAATTCCTAGTAATTTATATAATTCAAATCAGAACCTGTGCATAGAAGGAAGCGAAGACGCTGGACAAGGAGCTTGAACTTCTCAGGAAAGTTGGGATCCTTCAAGTCACCTTCACAAGTCACAACCGTCTCAATCAGGTCTCCATCACTGTCAGCAGCCATCTCTGGAACAGTTAAAAAATTTATTATACAAAGTAAATCATAATAGTTTGCCTCAAGTTTGAATTTCACTTCTACATTTTTCCCATAAAAAAAAAAGAAGCTAATAACACAGTTTAACACATTGACCAATAATTTCAAATTCCTTATAATAAAACCTGTCAATGTTGACATCTCTTTGCAAAAAATTTCATACCAGTTAAACTTTAAAGCAGTCTATTGATATCAATTGCTTTAATGTCATCTGTAAATGAACTTCAGATTTTCGGCAGTGGGTGTTCAATAGATTGATGCTTGGAAGGATGAAGAGTTACTTTGAGTCAGAATGGTGATAATAGCAACACAATCACTCAGAAGAACCGGAGTGGTAAGGATTCATCTAATAACCTCAAGGTGTATTGAGGGTAATGTGAAAATGAAGTATAAGCAATTGTTTTGACACTTTTTGGCATTTTTGACATTTGAATGTGTCAGTAATATATATAAAACTGATCAGGGTTTTATATCCACTCATGACTATGTCATTCAACATTAATACATCTGCAGCAGAGCAAGAAAACTATTTAAAAATTCAGTACATATTTCCCTAAATAAAACTACAATAAAAATTTGAAAATCCAGACAATGAAACATGTCTATTATTTTGTAATTAAACGTTATGACAAATTGTTAGATGCATGTCACACACCCACAAAGATAGCATTGTATGCTCTTTCATCTAAACACAAACCTTCGAGATTATAATCTGCATTACAAATCACCTTGTACTCATATTCTTATGTTTACAGCTGCAATTTGAAAATTCTCAAAAATGTGAGAACTAGAATCAATTGAATATCATTAGCTTATTTTCACTTGTAATGCCAACCAAACATCTTACAAAAAATTACTTGATCTCCTAAAATGTTTAGTACTTTGTTGTATATTAGTGTCACTAATTTGACAGTAGTTTTGCTTCTTCATTCTTTATGCTTCACTCACCGGTCACTCACATGCTCTGGCAGTGGCTACTCTTTGGCCTAGGGCTCCAATCTGCAAAGCTGGAGAAAAGTTATGTTTCCTAAAACAGGAAGATGAAAGAATATTAACCCCAAAGACGATAGAACCTCATTCTTTCTCTTCAACTGAGTACTGAATAAACAAATAATATGACTTTCACATGTAACCTGTTTTAAGAATGTTTAACAAGCTATTCATGCACCACTACAAAATTTAGTTAGGTACTTTTAATTTTATTATTGTTAGAACTATCACTACATTCGATTTAACTTTTTTTCAATTAAAAAAATTCTATACATTAAATGATTCCAATAACTACTATGTAAACTATGACTATGTCAATAAAACATCATTGTTACAATTTGTTGATTCAAATCATTACCATATGAAATCAACCTATAGAAATTGACAAATTCCACCCATTAGATAAAAACAAAAAATGATCTTTTTATTTCAATGGGGAAAAAATGTCAAATCAATATAGGTAGTTTTTATATCCAATATTATTACAAGAACAAATTAAAGTTATGCATCAAAGTAATATTTAGAGAAAAAATTAACAAAAAACATTACCGTATCTTTTCAATAAAACCTACTCAGCTACAAAGAAATCAATTTGCAACAAAAGTACAGAATTTCTTCAATGTCAACCAACAAAACAACTGAATTTATACTTGTATGTGAATCAAACTATTCATGAAGTACACAAATTGACTACAGTGGGAGATGAAGAGCAGTAAAAGTAACAAGAAGGAATCACAGCACCATTATGTACAAGCTTCAAATAAAGCTGCTGATGCTATAACCATACATTAAAATAAAAAGTATTTACATTCTTTCAATAATCCTCTGTCAAAATCTCATTTTGACATTATAAAACGACAAACGACTGTAATAATAAATTAAATTAATTGCAGAAGCTTACAAACTAAACGCTTATTGTATTGTACACAATCAACATTGACATGCAATCACAAGGTTATTTCACAAGATACTACCAACACAAAACATTGCATTACACACACAAATTCGTTTTGAAGATCACAAATGCACACAAAGAAACACACACATATCACGCAAACACTTTTTTGCAAGTTTAGCTTCAGAAACAGCTCTTTACTAAATTATTCACTTTAAAATACTCCCCTGCCAAAGCATTGGGAACCTACCGCATCATCGTCTACACTTCACTTTCGGTCCATTTTACAGCTTATTAACAATTAACAGTAACAAAATTCTTCAAATAAATAGTCCACGTGCCCGTGTTTACACGTTTTTAATAGAGAGAACGCGTAGATCGGTTACAGACGAGAACAAGCCGTCCAAGGGGATTCCGACCTCCATTTTGTGACATGGGGGAGTGGAAATCCGCTTTAGCAGCATGCTTCGAAAGTTCCGTCAAAAAGGGTTTTTCACAGCACCATAAAAAACAAACCAACGGCAAAAACGTTCATTAAAATTACACATGCCGTCCTCAGCGGTACGAATCATGTCTCATTCACTGATAAAAACATAATTCACTAGTAATATATTCATCCTAGATTCGAAAACTGATCTAGCAGCGACGGAGAATCTCACCTTACCCCACTTTCTGACTACCATATACGGCTTCTCAAGCTGCGTTACTTACCTCTAGCCACTTTTAACACAAGCAACACGTATCCATTAGACCGAATTATTTGATCACTTAACACATCTTACCTAGAAACGACGAAAAAACGGACATATTTTGGACGAAGTCATAAACGCCATGGAACAATAACAAGAGCCGCCATTTGCAATGTCCTAAACTGACATGCGCAAATCAATCAGTGGAATTGTGGGTAATGTTCCCGCCACCCGACAGGTTGAAATAGGCGTTTAAAGACCGTCTATTGGTGGAAACCACGTCGGCTGTCATTTCATTGGATTGCCAGCGAATAAAAAAATAATTCTCCAAAAATAATTATTTCCTGTGATGTTTTGTCAAGCGAAAATAGAAATTTCATGGGGGGTCTAATAACCCCCATGGTGGATCACCCCAAATAATTTACACCATTTCGCTTTTAATTTCAGCTAATGGATTTAGTGTTCAAATATTATTTTATATTCAAATTGATTAAGTTAAATTGACAATGAATAGGGTGGGTAGACTTATCTCTACACTCCAACTTACACAGAATCCTTACACTTGGATGACATACTACAAAATTTTATTTCAATAATTTACAAGACCATACATGATTTTATACAAGTCTCCAGTTTAATCACCACTAAACACAATTCATGATACCAGCAAGCGAATAAAAACACAATACATGATCAACAATCTTAATTTAATACAGAAAATGCATCTATACAAATACAACTAATTTGTTTCATAATATTCAATCATCATTTGGTCCACAGCTGGTAAAGACACCAGCATTTTTCATTCTCTGGAAGTCTGCTTCTGCATCATATGTCCTACAAAACAATATAAAAATATAAAATTCCAATGATATTTAGCATGTAACACAGAAAGATCGTAAAGCATTAAGCGTGTACCTGTAGAAGTCCGCATATAGCTTCTTGCGAACATCGCAAACTCCGACTTTCCAGGCGATTCCCGAAATGATGGAAAGAACAATTGCAACTGACAAGTTCTTTTTAATCGAGGAATTCAACAATCCACGAAGCTGCGGTTTCGCAAGCCTCTGCACCGAGTCGGCCATCTGAAATATTGACCGTGTAATAAGTATCACTTCGTAAAATACATGTTCGTCAATTAAAATTGTCATTAACTGACAATTAAATAACCAACAAATGTACATTAAATACTGCAATGAACACTATACTATGCTTTTAACAATAAACGTAACTTACCTTCCAATACAGATAATCAGTAGCTTACACAAACGCACGAAAGAAAATGGCGTTGCCAGATGATTAGGGAAAGCACTCACGCAAAAGATAGACCGTATGTAGCTTAGTTCAAAGATATACCACTTGCGTAGTCGACGGTAGCGCACGTTCAAAACTCTTTGCGAATGTGGTCCCTCAGTGGTTTACAATTTACTCCTAATTCACAAATATTTTAAAGCCATTTCAAGAATGTTTGAGCAGTTTTTCTTCAACATAATCCTTATATAAAGAATATCAAGATTCATTACCTCTATTGATGTCAGCACACTCTTTCTTACATGTTCATGTTGAAAGGAGCTTGATTTTTTCTGTTCACTAATACAGAAATTCATATCCTGAAAATTTGAACTTCGCCTACCAAAGCTTCTGAACCCAATTCCTTTGTTCTTACAATATTTGTGAGAATTTCTTACGATTCTTAATTGCGCGTAGTCCATTGCGCGAACTCATATAGTTCAAAATGTACTTTACAAATATAAAACGTGCCCAGCCGAATGATTTTTTTAAAGAATGATTAATTTTTATAAAGAATTTTTTGTTTATTCCGAATATAAATGTATTTTTTATATGTTAGCTTCGCAAACAATTTATATCAATTGACTTTCGTTAAGAAAGAAAATTAGTAAAAACTATATTTTTAATATGAATGTTTCCAGAAGGGTCTGAAGCCCCATGAGCCTCCCCCGTCTTGATTGCGCCACTGCGTTTTAATATTTATTATTGAATGGTTCTTTATTAATTCCCATCCTTTTTATGCAAGGTGTAATAAAAATTCGTCGTTTTACCGATAACGGATGGTATTTAACGAATATGTAACGCCAACGTAATTAAAATGAGGGTTTTTGATGCACCTTTTTCAGAAACTATTTAAGATAGAGCTTTGAAATTTTCACCGCATGTACATTTCATCTTTCTTACCACTATAACAGAGGCACATTTTAATATTTAGTATAGATTTTTTTTATTTTATACTCTTTTCCCCTTAAATTTTGAAAAACGTATTCGCGCGCCTGTAAAAATATACGTGTTCGATAAAAGCCCGTGTTAAAATTAAGACTGAACCTCTGATAATAAGCTGTGAGAGTTTGGTATACCTACCATCCATAGTTTTGGAGAAAATGTTCCTTACATATGAAAATATGTAACTTACGGGAAATGGCTTCTAAAGTTTCATAACCAAAAAATGCTCATATAACTAGCAGTTGGCACTTTGTAGCGCTCTATTGGTTCAAATAAACAAGACAACAATGTTTTAGGACTAAAAGTTGCAAAAACATGTAACCAGGAAGTTCAAACAATTGCCGCGCGCATGAATTCGACAAGAAAGCAGTATGGTTGGATTTTCATATGCCTCATGGAAGAACAGAGCCCATACTGTTCTATTCGTCTTCAGATGAAATAGTATTGTGTCTTACGACATAACCATAACATTTCTGCAATCCGTCAATCGTTTCATCAGTGAATTGACCTGGTCCCCCATAGTTTTCCCATCACTTAGTTTTGTAGAACCAAGTGTTTGTTTCAATTTTCTGTATCCCACCCTAATTCGTTTTTGAATGTTGCTTAAGTATTCAAATTTTTGTACAGTAACATCTGTACATTATGGATTCAATTCCACCATACACTTGAACCCTTCAGAGTCACCATTATAAAGTCAATACACATATCGCACACCATATCTTGAAAGTTTATCAAACCACGCCCACATTCGGTGCATTCATTTACAAATCATTTACATTTCAATTACTTGTATACAAAATAACAACATATCGACTTCTAGAGCTCGTAAACTAAACATTTTAATTGCATTTTGAAGATCAAGAATTTTATTTTTTTGGAGGAGTGGGCCCCGTCCGGTTCCTCTTAAGTAAATTGTATTTATTATTTATAAACTCCTTGCTAAGCCTCTAATTCGCTCGGGAATTAATTTTTTTACATTATTTACAATTTTACAATATTATATATTCAAATGTTTGACTGTTTCAACGCCAAATTTGAAAAGCTTAATTTGAGGATTGCTGAGTAGAGGACGAAAATTGAAAATCTCTCGGAGAGAGTTAAATTCCTGGAAAGTGCTGATTATCACTCGATTTCTCCCGCTCTCTGGAAGACTTGCTTGGGGAAATAGAAGAAGGTCATAAACGAGCCTCAAATGTCATCTTCTACGATTATACCGTCGAGAGATTGGAGAGACTAATGATCTCGAGTGTCTCAACGCCAAACTTGCATTTATTCCCCTCCTTCCTACGGCGTCAGCAGTGAGAATTGGGAAGGGCCGGAACGGTCACCCCCCCCCCTTTGAAAGTCACCTTTTCGAGTGATATCAACGCTAAACCTATTCTCCGTAATAAAGGCAAGCATAAATCTCTAGATATTTCTGCTAGAAATTATATTAACAAAACAACAAAATTACCTAAATACATTAAGAGACGAATTCGAAAATCGCGTTGAGAACTGCGAGAAGATTTTGAAAATAGCGTTCCAAAGATCATTCAGAATCCAAAAAATTAAGTCAGGGATATTTCAGATTACCTTCCATTAACGAACTCCACGTCTATTTCCAGAATGTCAGAGGCTTGCAAGCGAAAATGGCAGGCCTTGACTATGAGATTATTATCTTGAGCGAGACGTGACTAGACGACAGTTTCTCTGGTGAACTTCAGATGAATACTTACTCTATTTTTCGTCGAGAACGTGATGCTCACTCCAGCATATATGATTGAGGAGGTGGTGTTCTCATTGCGGTCAGAGCCCTTGACGTCATTTCTGGTCACTACTGGCGCCTTAAACATCGGACATCTTTATGATAAAATTGAACTTAATGGGGGCCGACTAATCGTTGGGGTCGTATATTTTCCTCCATGCTCCAATTCATTATTATGAATCTGCTTCTGTGCTCTTTACCGGCGATTTCAACCTTCCGGGACTGGACTGAGCACGTTTCAGCTATGACTCTCCAATATTTTTCACCGTTCTTTCTCCTTCGGTTAATTAGACAGTTACTACTTTTTAAAACGCGCTTGATCTATTGATCATGCGTCAATAAAATGATATTGTTAATCATAAAAATGGTTTCTTGACCTCATCTTCTCAAACTTTGACACTCCTGATATACTGCGGTCTATTGATGATCTTATCAAATGTAATCATTGTTTTTACTTTTACAACGCCATTATTACATATGACTGTAATTAGGATCCTACTTATGTTTACGATATTTAAAATGCCGATTATATAACTATTTGTTCCAAACTCACTCTGATTGATTGGAGTTCCAGTCTTAGCAACATGGATATTAATACGAATGTGGACATCTTTATAAATCTCTATTCACTAATCGACTGGTATGCTCCAGTGAGGCTGATTTTTGAAAGCTCTTACCAGCTCTGATATTACAGTGCGAGGAATTGATCTTACTTATTCTGGAAAAGAAAAGACTATAAATCATCAAAATCGACGACTCATGATTTGTTCTGAGACAAACTGAAGTACGTAAAAATATCTCCTACCATAATTATATTTTTTCGGTTAAAGAATCTATATCTTCTAACCAATGCCTTCTGGAATCATTTACATTTCACCACAAATCACAACTATAACCCATGTAATATGCACTATCGGGATATTCATTGTGCAGAATTGAGCGATATCATCTCCATTTTTGCACATAAGTCACTAATCCATTTTCCAACAATACATCATCCCTTTCCGCATTTTCTCTGGTTTCGGTTGTTAAGGACATCATCGACAATCTTCAATTATGGTTGTATGATACCTTTGAGAAGCTTGGTTCTTTAAACCCAAGAAAAAGTCCAGGTCCCGATCTCATACCTAATCTGTTTTTGTCGCATTGCAGATATGCCATTGTCGCCCCATTATTCTTACTATTTAACCAATACTTCAGATGTGGGCCTATTCCTGATGTTTGGAAGTAGAGCGAGATAATCCCTGTTTATAAAAAAGATTACAAATCTGATGTGATGAAATACCGCGCTATTTCTATCTTACGTGTCGTCCCTAAGCTGTTCGAAAAACTGGTGTGCATTACTCTTACATCTTCTTTCGGGCCTGTACTCTCAGGCTCCGAGCATGGATTCAGGAAGGGCAGGTCAACCTGTACAAACTTGGTCATATTCAAAAAGTGTATTGTTGATTCGCTGGCGGATTGCTCTGAAGTTGATACAATCTATACGGATTTTGCTAAGGCGCTTGACCGGGATGATCACCCGATCTTAATCCATAAACTAACATGGGTTTGGGTGATCCGCTCCTTTCATGGATCAATTATTCTTAATTGCATAACAGACTGCAGTATGTTTCTCTGAATGGTATCCATTCCGAATGTTACCGTGTAGGGGCTGTAGTCCCTAAGGGATCTTACCTGGGCCATTTACTTTTCACCTTGTTTATAAATGATCTTCCTACAGACTTTAAACACAGTAATATCCTTCTTTGTGCTGATGACGCAAATATTTATCGTTTGATAGTTGATACTGATGACGCCATCAAGTTGCAACTTGATTTACTAGCTGTCGAAAATTGGTGCCTTCTGAACATATCATTGCACTATGACAAATGCTATACCACTAGCTTCTCCAGAAAGACGACACTCTTAGTTTTCTATATAGACTCAATGGGAGTATATTGGCTGCGGTTGACATCAAAGACCTTGGAATTATCACCGGATGTAAACTCAATTTCAACGACCACTTTAACAGAATTGTTAAAAAATCTTTGCGATCTCTGGGTTTTATTATGCGACAACACAATTTCTATCACTCTAAATGATCAAACTTATTTTTATCTCGCTGGTTAGCCCATTCTCAATTATGCCTGTCTTATTTGGCCTCCCTTTACTGGCAAAACCATAAATCATCTTGCGAAGGTCCAACACAGGTTGTTGCGCAACTTGGCGTTTCGCGTTCCCTAGTTTTGCACGACAACACTGATCAGGGCGGATCGTGCTTAGGTTGCATGGTTACACAACCCCCAGATTATCGAAAGAGATCTCATAATATCTTAGGGACGTAAATTTTTCTTTTAATGACATTCAATATTCAAGATATTGTAGCAATATCGATGTATATAAAATCATTTTGAAACCAAAGAGCGTCTACCTAGCACTCTTTTCGGTGTCTGGTACCTTGCTGGGTGTTGCACCATACTCTCGGCTCTTGGCTATATTACTGGGTTTACTGCATTTACTCTCTGGCCCTTCGATTTAATACCGGCGACATGAGCCGTTTTTGTTGCCCAACCAGCTGGTGGCGCTGTCTAGCGCTGCGCGGCGACTGAAGGAGTCTCAACATTCTGTCTTCGTTAGACTCGCTGCAACGTAATTTTA